AAAACAATAAAAAGTTAATGAAGAAAAGTACTGGTTGTAATGAATTAGTAATACTGTTAGATTTGTATGTGGAGTCGATTTTTTTGTTGTGGGTGGAAGATGATCAATAGGAATATGTAATCAAGTTGTATGTGCTTTTCATCTCCCGAGACTCGTCTTGTAAATGAGATGAAGCATCTCAAAGGATTTATCCTGGGTAGCAAAAACTAAACAGAATAATTTAAAATAACCGCTTAGATTTTCTCTTGATAAAAATCTAAGGAAAATCTCCCAAGGTTTGGGGAAACAAAACTATACATTTCTTAAAGATTGTAATACACATCACTGTTCATATTTTGATAAACTTCTCCCATTGTCTTTCAAACAAATATTTTTGCCTAGAGAACCATCCTACTTAATGTAAATGACACTGAATATTTAGAGCTATGCATTCTCTCTGCCAGCTAATTAGCTAAGCCTCAAAAGCACATGGTGGTTGGGATACTGCACCTTTGCTGAAAGCCAGCCTTCCAGAAGATAGGAATAAGAAGAGCAAGTCCCAAAGGAAATCATTTTTATGATAAAGAGCCCTAATGTGCCTCAGTAAAGGTGAGGATTGATTATTACAGCCAATTGTTACTATAATTAGAAGTCAAACACCAATTAGCACTTCCATTAATAAGATTAATCTCTACAATATCTGCAGCTGAGACTCAGGGCTGGTGTGGAATAAACCAGCATGAATTTGAAGTGTGGCAGCTATCACGCACTAAAAGGCCTCATTTGAACACTTACACCAACTTTTTTTTTTTTTTTTTAATCCCTCTGCCTCCTCAGAGTTTTGTTGGAGTTCCCACATGCACTACTGGTCTTATGACATCTTTCCCATTTTTTGCTTTCTAGTTTTTTTTTCAACATATTTTACACCACTGATGGGTTTCAGGGAAATGGAGTAGGAAGTCTCCTAGTTCACACACTCCGCATTGCAACAAGGGGAGAAAAGCTTAATTTTGTTTTTCTTTACCAGTAAATTCAGGTAAGTAGTAATGAAAGAAGAAAAAAAAAAAAAAAGCTTCTTGCAAATATAGGTGGACTCTTCACATGACAGTACAGGAGTCCATTGGAAATATGGCCATCACTTATTTACTTCAAAATATCAAGTAATAGAACAGTCAAATTCAACCTTCCAAACGCACAGAACTGAAGACAGGGTGAGGGCAGAAGATGAGATGAAAAGTCACGTGCTCATGTTTGTATTTTTGTAGGTACCAAAAAAAAATAAGAAGCTTAAACCCTGTCCATGCAAGGTAAAAAGGCAGTTTTTATAAAACTTAGAAGCTAACAGGTCAAGGCAGCTTGTATGTATCTCTGTATTAACAATACAATTAATCCTAGCTACACTAAAATTTACTGATGTTTGACATGATTGGTTAGCCTAGAGGCTTTGTAATGGGTTTGTATTTTCCTGAGTTTGAGAGGATAAAAAGGCTTTTTCTTCTTGTGAACACCCTACAGGATCTACAGGACAAATATACAGGCAGTTTTGACTGAAGAAAATTATTTATTTACTTTTTAAAAATCTGACAGGTATCCAAAGAAACCTGCAGTGGTTTCTAAGCAATGGTCTCAGTACTAGCGGATACCCTTGAAATAGGCACTAGTAGACAAAAAAGAAGCAAAAGAGGAGGAAGGGGGATAAGAAAGTAACTTGCTGTGCTAAAGCTAAGGATACAGAGGCTTGAAGACATTGGTACAAGTTTGCTCATTGGTATCACTTGCATTTTCACCCGCAATATTGAGGCCACATGAGAAATACATTAGTCAGTACACAGAGCCAAGGAGATTCCTCAGTCTCCGGTCAGTAGGGAACAGTGATGCCAGACAGACACAGCAGGAGGAATCCCTCGCGGCCGCAGGCAAGGCCGGCCACGGGCAGCACCGCGCGGCTCCCGCGGTGGCGGCCCCGTCGCTCCGGCGAGGAGCCCTCGCCAGCAGCAGCAGCAGCAGCAGTTGGCTCCACCGCGTAGCAGCGGAGAACACGTGTGCTAACTAATCTATCTTCATGCACCTGGGTCAATTGCCCAAAGCACGGACGGACCGGAGAGCAGGAGAACAGAGGCAAACTGCATTCCACATGCAGCTTTCAATGACTTTCTATTTCAATTACGGTTATGGTACTGTTTATACTTTTATTCAAGGATATGAAATGAGGAAAAAAAGGTTATGCAAAACATGACACATTCCAAGGGGAAAAAGAAACAACACTTTTTAAAAAATTTTATTTTCCCTGAGTTAAATAATTCTGGCACTACCTCTTCTCTCCTACATCTCCCTGATCACAGATTATACTTTTACTGCAGTATCAGATATAATGGACTGGTGCAACTGGCTCTCCACGGTGGCACCAAAGGTTTTAGGGGGAGCCCCAGAGCCAATTCCAACACAAACAGCGAGAAAGGAAAGACTGGGCTGGTGTAATCGTCAACAATTCCTGGAATGACTTTGCACCCGCTAGGAATCCAGGAACGCCATTAATTAATCACTACTAACTACGACAATCAAGCGAGCCATATCCAACAGCTAACAGTCCGCACTATAATGTTCACAGCACATAAGTATCCAGCAATGGAGATGCTCATTACAGTGCCAGAAATAACATTTCCAGCAAAATATTGTATCTAAAGATGAAGTAATTATATGGCATGGTAGCAAAAAGGGCTGTATAGTTTACAGCTGAACTGAAAATCTCTTTAAAATCTATTTTCAACAAACACTTTCGAAAGCTGAAGAAGCAGATGAACAAGTAACGGAGTAAGTGCATTTCTTAGATCACTGAGGATACTCTGCCTTTGATATGTATCTCATGCACCATACATAATTACCCCCTAACTAAGATGGCAGACAAAAATGCACTAATGGAAAATGTCTTTTGGTTCCTATTCGGGAGGAGGTAGTTTGTAAAACCTTATTTGTAAAACATAAAGCAATGAGAAAGCCCTTTTAAGATCACAATTTTACAGGTGGCCTGATCTCCTAGCTTTATACAGTACTCAAAATCAGAAGCAAGACCCAGTGGGTATTTGGAAAAGCTCACAGGCACAGACTCATTAAAAAAGACAGCAGCCCTAAACCAAAGGCAAATCCTGCCAGGACTTAAGTGTAAGGCAAAAACTGGCCCTTTGCTGCACAAAATGCTACAACGCACCAGCATTTCAGTAGATTTCCACTTTGCTCACATTTACACCATGATATAAAGTTTCAATGAAAAACCATTTAAATTAACAACTCCTCCATTGCCACCGCTTTTGCAGAGGGTCCTGAGCCTCAAGGATTCTGTGCGGCAGTGTTCAAAACTTCCTGGAGTGCCCTGGTAACTCTAAGATAAATATAATGGTTATTACCTCGTGTTTAAACTTAGATTTTCAGCTAGTTTAACTGGCATAGCTCCAGTGATGTCCATTTATACCAGATGGCTTGTCTTAATTCAAGGTTGTAGTTGCTCAAAATAAATAATCACCTTTCTAATGGCAGTCTGAAGGGCTCAGAAGTTATCAGAATGCTCAGCATCATCATGCTCAAAAACTTTGTTATCAAAAATACTATTTTTCATCTCTCTTTATAGGGCACACATATGATGAACTTTTTCAATCATTTACAAAACAAACTACCCCACCTCCTCTACTATAATTAACTATCTTGAATTACACTTTCATACAGCATAATTTGCATATAAATATAATTTTTTTCTACAACCCTATGGGGACATTAAGGACAAAACCAAACAAGAACAGAATTAAACAGCTAAAAAAACCCACAGCCCCTCCATAACAAACCTTCATGATATTTTTGCCTTCTTTCTTTCTTACCATCATTTCTGTCCTTCCCAATTCACGTACATTTTCTGTCTCTTTATTCAACCCTCCCACCCTTGTCCCATCCACATCCCCCTCCCCCATCATAAGATATTAAAAGTCTTATTAAAAGTCATAAAACATTAAAAGTCTTTGTTTGCTTCGGTCTTTTCAATCGTACAATGCTATCTCTGCATTTCCACAGCAGATCAGGATGCAAACAGGCCACTAAGTTTGTGCATCTTCATTTAACATATCGCAAGCAATTTAACAGATCGCAGCAATCAAAAGAGCTTTAACCGAGAATGCAGCAACAGTCTGTTCCCAACAAGAATCAGTTTTTTCAGAGTACTTCAAAAATGGAGATTTGGCAGTTTTTCAACTAGATTTCATTAACATTACTTATTATTTCAATCAGTCAATTCTGAAATCTGCAAAAGAGCAACCACTATTTTTGATTACTATCATTAAAAGCATTAAATACTTTAAAAACACAAGGCACATGAAAAACAAAAGTTTTGACTGCATGAAGCTAAACCATGCAAGGGAGACTGGAGAAAACTTAATGATAGGTTCAGTAATTCTGTTGCAAAACCTAAGGGGTAAAAGTTTTATTCTACCCTGCTGTTTTAGGGAAAATACTTGTTAAGAAGACTACAGCGAAAAATTGTGTGCCTGGGAAACTACCTGGCATTCCATTAGACTGGCGACCTGACTTTGATATTTCTAGCAAATAGGTGCACCTGAGTAACATTCGAGTAATTTAAAACAAAAATACTTAATTAAAAAAAATCTCTAGCATCTTTCTTTTTTTGATTCTGAGTACCTTTCTACAGAAACTTTCCAATAACTACATTTATTCAAATGAATTTATTTTGTTTGTGCCCAGAAACTCAAGCAGGATTTGGGCATAGTTATTTTAAGAGTCATACAAAGAACAGGAAATGGTTTTCACTGCGGAAAGCTTGTAACAATCCTGAGGGACAAAGCCAAAATAATTAGGGCAGTCATTTCATACATGTATTCACATCCTTGCTATTTTAAGTTGGTTTGGCTTTTTTGTTTTTCAACTTTCGTAATTACGTAAGCACAGACTTCAGGTGATTTCGGATCAAAGTGGCCTAACTAATTTATCTGGGTGTACTCTCACTAAAGGAAATCACTACCTACCTGGAATAAATTCCGCTGACCATGTTGTGCTGGAAAGAGAGTTCTGCTGTACTGGGTCCTGCAGCTTTGGAAATAAGCAGTACGACCAAACCTCGCATCTGTAAACTATTCCGGCTATCGTAGACAAACCCACTGTAAAAAGGAAAGAAAAAAAAGCAAGTTTTTCAAGAGTTATTTTCACTGGTTATACAAAAGTGGAAAAAAAAACCCCTTGAACCTCAGGCTGCCATCATTTCATTGAGTCTCTAATATTCACACCTCCGTGGAAATAAGCTACAGTTATTAATCATGATTTTCTGTCATCATTCTTTACCCATACGATATAATGAAACATGACTACTACAGATGAAAATGAGCATTCAAAATTAAATCTTGATTGTTTTCAAGGAGCAGCCTGCGTCCTGCATTTCTGTCAAGATGTCATGAAAGGAGTATTTCAGATTAATTTTATGTCATATACTGTAATAGGAACATAAGAGATTTCCAGTTGTTTTTTGACATCTGAATAAGCTAAAAGAATCCATACACCTCAAGAAAGAAAAAAAAAAAAAGAAAAAAAAGGAAAGTATAATTGAGATCTATACCCTTCTCAAATACAAGTGCTTAGACCAGAGTAGCTATAAGACTGCACAATAAACACCATGTGGCTATGGATTTTAGAAAGAGAGTATGCAAAAACTGATGAAACAGCATATAAGTTGTTAAGTGAAATAAATAAATTTAAACAAGCAAACAGTTTCAAATTGTATATCTTTAAATTTGGGGTCAGAAGGCTACCACTAAAACCTTTCTGTCAAAAAAAAAAAAAAGAAAAGTGAATGACCATTAAGGTGTGCCATCTCTGAAATTAACTTATTTTAATACAAATTTTGCTTTGCCTTTTTTTTTTTTTTTTTGCAGAGTCTCAAATTTCATCCTTTCTTTGCTTGTCAAAGACACCTTCTACTTCCCATAATCATTAATAAGGACAAATATTCAAATGAAAGAATAATATATTCCAAATATTATTAATTTTTAAACTAATTTCCAGTAAATTAGAACCCATTCCTCTGATATCACCAGAGCATTTGCTAAACAAATAATTATAACTACACCACAGATTACTAAGCAGTTCAACCTATCTTATTTCGGAGTATAACTTTCTATTTTGCAGTGATTAGTGCAGAACAGAACTGTCTTGGAAACAGCCATCGGTCTCAATTTGCAATAATGTGATTAAACGTTAATCTCTCCAAACAGAGCACTATAGCAAGAACAGAAAATAATCATTACCTTGCTAGCTATCTTAAAATTCCCTTCTGGAAATTATGGGAACACGGATACACAATACTTAGGTGAAAGACACTCAGCACGGACTTGAGCTCTTGGCACATGAGATTCAAATGCTGCGTCCTGAGAAGGAACCACGTCACAAGTCACCAGCTCTCACCTCCTGTGTCCTCAAAGAGGCTTTTAAAAACAAGCAGCTGCAGCCAGCGCAACAGCCAGCCCAAGCGCGACGCTCCGTGACGCTGCTGGAGCGCGGGGCGGCCTCCTGCGCGCGGGTCGTGTGGATTTCACAGAATCACAGAGTGGCTGAGGCTGGAAGGGACCTCCAGAGATCACCCAGCCCAACCCTCCTGCTCCAGCAGGGACACCCAGAGCACGTGGCACAGGGTGGCACCCAGGCGGGTTTGGAAGGTCTCCAGAGAAGGATTTCCCTGCCACCCCCAGTGCGGGAGGCCTGCGCGGCCTGAGGACTATCTGCGGGACAGAGATTTCCAAAGTCAGAGCCTCAGGGAACATTAAACTATTCCAGAAAACAAACAAAATGACCCGCAAATACGTATTTGGAATAATTCATGCTGAATAATCATCCCGCGTACAGAACTCCTCACTCTGGTGGTGGGGGAACTCTCTGGCTTGGGCTTCAGGGGACCTCAGTACTCACACAAGCACCCAGGTTATGCAGCCGTGCAGCTAAGGGCAATCCCAGCCTTCCTACTTCCTCAGGGCCATTCCCTGCTCCAGCACTTTGAAAGAAAAGGAGGTTTAGGAAAAAGTTACTGGCACTCTCCACATGTGTGTGCTGGTAAAACCAGAGTACCTTACTATATCCAGGATCCCATAGATTTTTGTTTTGTTTTGAAATGCGTAACAAATTGGGGTAATATCTTTATAAAATCAGAATACCTTGGGTTTTTTAATGCTCAGTCACACGGTTTTACAGGAAATACAGAAAGCCATGCACTAGAGGATTATAAAGCCCTGACTTTCAAACGAGCCATGGCATGGACCACTACAAATAAACCATTGCAATGTTTTAGACTGGTTTGAACTGGGGCATGAACAGAAGTTATTATTAAAAATAAATAAAGGAAAAAGTTGTGGTGAAAATACTTGAGAATAATTCATAAGCAATAACAATTGTTTCAGAGCTGTATAAGTGACTGCAACACTAGCAAGAATTATTTATGGGAAGCACAGACAGGTGGGATGAGTGAAGGGCTAACAGTTTTAAAAATAAGGAAGAAGATGCCTTAATTTGTTCATATGTTACATGTGGCTTGCGACTAAATTTAGCCAGCAGTTCCTCTACAGCTATATCACCAGCGCAGCACTCTAAGTCTGATTCTCTTCCAAAACAACACTGAAGTTGTGTGGCCGACGCGCAAGGCATCCACACTAAAGCAAACCGCTCTCGACTTGCAGCAAACCAGGTCTCTGGTGACCATCCCTGAGCGCTAGAAACCAGCGCAGCTACTTGACGTGGCTCCAGGGGTCACATTCACATTCTGCATGAGGCTCCCCGGAGAGCGTCTGCACGAGGAGCAGCTACACAAAAGTCTTCCAGATGGTGCAATTAGTCTTGATGGGTTTGTGGCAGAAGACAGGTGCCGCTAGGGAAAAGAAAAAGGGAACTGAGAGCAACCCAAGTGGAACTGTGCACACAAAAAAAACACACACTCTGCACAGAGACTCAGAAAACCTCCGCGGCACAGCAAGAGCGTATGCGAAAGGTAGCCAAAAAACGGCACATTAGTGTCTTTTTCCTTGCTGTACCGGGAAAATACAATCTCCATCCTTGGGGGAACACGTACCAAATTGGTGGAACACGTACCAAAAAAGGTAGGTGAGTCAGACACGCTACAACAACCTGCTCTTGCAAAACATTAAGGATTTGTCAAAAAAAAAAAAAAAAAGGCTACCCTAGTTATTAGCCACATGACAACATCGCCTGCTTGAGAACTGGCAGATTCACAGCTTTAAATACAGAACAACCCTTGCCAAAATAATAATAATAATAATAATAATGACCCCACGTGGCAGCCTCGGGGAGAGGATCCCAGCTCGGACAGACGCCGAGGGCGGCGGGAGCCCCCGCGCCAGCCGCCTGCTGCGGGGGACAGGCCACGCAAACCCACCCAGCCCTGCAAGCAGCGCTCCTCTGACCCAGCCGTCTCCATCACGCACCACAAAGACTGTGAGGGGGGGAAAAAAGCAGCTCCTGCTCTCACCAGGTTTTTCATTAAATCTTGTGAAATTAAACCCAAGCAAGAAACATGGCAGATACAGCACTGTGCTATGAAGTCAGTCAACATGGATAAAACAGCAAAAATACCCGGGTGATTAAAATACCGCCACTGTGACAGGTGACGGTGGGTTTCATTCACTGTTTTGTTTCCCTCCAAACGGGAAAGAGGGGAAAAACAGAGGGGAGCCCCTGGGTGTCCCTGAGCCCTCTAGTCCCTGTGCCAGATGTTGAGTAGAAGGAGGAGGAGGGCTGAGAGTCACCTGTTCACACAGCTCTGATAAAAAGCAGCTGGGAAAAAGGCCGTAAGGCACAACCCAAATCAGCTCTGCTGATGGAGGAAATTTCTAAGCTTAGGAGCACATCGGTGAATGCACAGGCTAGTTTTTGGCTCAAATGAAAACTACGGGAAAAAAGAAGGAAATAATTAAAAACCTGGCTCTACTCAACAATCCCAAATGCAATAGAGACAATTTTAAATCTACTGCATCCAGGGAAAGTAACATCTATTTTGCTCCGCAGCAAGACAGGAGAGCAGGATAGTTATGGCTGCAGGTGCAGAGTATCTTTTTTCAAAAAGTAAAAATTGGTTTGCAAAATTAATTGCAGTTGACAACTTTAAAGCGAGAGGCCGAGATGATGCAGTGAGCTCGCAGCGCGGCGCTCGGCTCCTGTCAAGAATGCAGGAGTCCTCGCAGCCTCCGGCCTCTTACCTGGTGTGTTTTATTAATGACTTGCCAGGAGTAAATAAGAAAAAGCGCTCCATTACACTCTTTTTTTTTTTTTTTTCCAAACAGATGTTAAACCCCTGCCTTATATATTGTACTTAAATTCAAATCTCATGATCCACCATAAGAGCACACAATTCAGATATGTGTACATTTAAATTCAGCATTGAATTACATATTTGGTGCATGCTAAATGCAGCCAATGCAGCCACAGTCACTTCTTTTCATCTGCTGTCGAAGTCTCAAGGCTGTTCACTTCTCAAATAGCTCCTGAATAACTCTGGCCGCCAGCTGATGCGATGCTTCTACAACTAACACTAAGGCAGGGCGTGCAAGAGGCTGTAGCCCTGGGGAGACTCTGGGTTCCTGTCTCTGCCTCTGTGGCTCCACACTTTGTGATAGGGAGTCACTAAGTTGTGCAAGCGCTTAATTTGTGCGCTCCAATCTGCCGCGCAGCCTCAGGATGCTCCGTGAATCACTAACAAGGCTGCAAACACACTCAGCTCGGCCAAAACGGCAGCATTTTTCAGGATGCACTCAACGGCCATCAGACACAGAAGCAACTTCACTTGCATTTATGAACTCTCTGGTACCTAGTCCGCTGGGGAGAGTGATGACCCGACCTATACTTAAAAGCACAGCTTGTACAAATCTGGATATTGTGTCGCAGGTTCTGCCTCTACCTAGAGGCTCACACAGGTAGATCGAGGCAGGTGATTATTCACCTTTACTCGGCATTGGCCACACCACTTTGGTAACGCCGCCTCCAGCACAAGAGAAATGTTGCTCAACTGCAGTAAGGTCAGCGCTGGGCCGGGCCGCAGCAACTGCCCCTGGAGACAAGGCTGCTGGAGCCGGCCTCCTTCGGCCTGGAGGAGGCTTCAGGACATGCACCAGCCCCTTTCAGTACCCATGGGGGTTTACTAGGATGGAGCCAGGCTTGTTGTGCAACGTATCACAGGAGGATGAGAGCCAACGGCCACGAACTGACACCGTGAAGGGAAAAAAAAAAAAGGCAGAAAAACACCAGCATATACCCCATACAATGTACTACTTTCTAAAGGAGAATCCCACCAACCTTTTGAGTTCAGCGATGAGTGCAGAAGATGTTATCTTCCAGGAATTAGAACAGTTCGGAAAAAAGAATTTAAGAAAATCAAATGGGGTCATACAGACTAAGCTTAAGAAACTGTGGATATTTGAGCAGGTACAAAGCAAATACTGATGCTTGGCCTTGGTTTCTTGGCAGTTTGTGGTATTTACAGCTTCTAGAAACTCTGACGGCCTTAAAATTCCTGAAAGGAAAATGTTTTCCCTGAAGCCTGCAGAACTCGTCTCAGACATCCATATCTGCCATTCATTGCTACTGGATTTACTGTTTCCTAAACAGGAGGTTATTTGAATCTTTAACGTAGAAATGAAGTGCATGTTTGCATATTACTTGACAGAGCTCTTGACATACCTACTGCATTTATGACAGGTCATCCCCTAGGATGAGGAAACAGAAGAGCTGCCTTTAAAAACAAAACAAAAAACCTCTAGAGCCCAATTTTCTGCAAAATTTATAAGCAACTGAGGACCAATGGAAAAGACTTTTGCTTGGCAGGAGAAAGAGGACGACCCATTTTTTTACCTGGATGAAAAAATACAGCAATACTTGTTGCTCCAACAGTTAGTAGTTACAGCAACTAAAGTTCCAGTAGAGTTGATTTTAGATTGTATAGTCATTTAGGATATCAAGACAGAGCCTATTACAGACATTAATATATATACATATATATAAAATAAAAACAAGGGCAGGTACAATCAGATGTGACCTCAAAGCTTAATTGTTCAGAGAAAAAAAAAAAAAAAAAAAGATGATTTTGGCTGTAGCTAGGTAGCTTTCTCCCATGTATGGCCAGACAATAACAAGCCAAAATGTACAAAAACCAGTATTATCCTTCCCGCCCCCAACCTGATGACAGGGCTGGGCAGAAAGGCCTGTTTACAGGGATGACACTAACACCACCACGTAATAAAAAAGAAAAAAGAAGAATTATCTGCTGTTTTCCCTGGTTGGTGTTCGCTGTGGTGTTGGATTATGTTGTGGACAGCAGGCTGGCAATAGCCTAATACCAAAGAATGCAGTTAGTGTCTGAGTGCAATTACTCTGAGCAGCAGCAGCAGCTTGCAGGTCTGGCACCCTTATGTTTCTAACCACAAATACTTAGACAGAACACTAATTTGTGTGTGTCTGATTTTTTCCATCAATATTGACTTTACTTAAGCTTTGTGGGAGGTCCAGCACCCACTGCCACCCAATATCAACAGGTTTGCTCAAGCACAAGACTACCCTTTTGAAAGGGGCTTTCTGGGATGCAGGAACAAGCAGTGAAAGGGACAGAAATATTCAGGGAGAGGCCTCTGAATGGCAGGAGTGTGATGAGCTCCACGAGGCTAACGAATTCAGACACCTCTACAAGCAGAGTGTCACTTGAGCAATATTGTAATTGTACAGCCTGTCGAAAAAAGGTATTTTGCATTAAACAAACTCTACCAGGGGAAATGCAAAATGAAATAGGTCACCTCCTGGCCGTAATCTCATGATGAGAATGCTCACAGCATGTTTTACAAATGGATGAAACATTAAAAAAAGCAAAAATGTTACAGTGTGCATTGTTATTATAGAATGATCTAAAATTTTTTAACCTTCCCTACTCAACAATATTGTTATATAACAGCTTAGCTCAGTATTATTCAGATAAGTCTAATATAAATATTTATTCTCCTGGAACACTGAAGGTTCTTTACTAGCAGTGAAAAAATAGAAGTTCAAAGTTGAGTGCTTAAGGGAATTATTTTCAGTTAATGCGCAGTTCAAACACACTCTAAGAAACCTGCAAATAAAAATATTTATTTTAAATACCCTGGTTGACAACCAGTTTGTGCCATTCGTTTAACTGCAGCACCTCTTCTAAAAACCCTGCATTTGTCCATGCCTACAGAAGCTACCTGGGTACAGCACAGTAGAAACCTTTCCTATACTGGTAGGGAAAAAAAAAATAAGAAAAACAAAACATAAAACAGCGGAGAAGTAGGACAGAAGCAAGGCAGCTACGTATATTGTACAGTCCCAGGAGTAGGAAGGAGTAGAAATAACCTGAGATCCTAATATATATATATATATATATATATACACTTCTTAGTACTAATACCAAGGGTTTTTCAAAGGTTCATTTTATGCAAAAAAATAAAAATAAAAATAAAAATAAATTAAGATGATTGCCAATAACACAGACAAACCTACACCATCACCACACTTATTATTACCTCCATTTGATGTTTTACTCTAGATTATTAATTCCAGAGGGTCTCTTCACAGCAAGACCCAGTCGGTTGACTACTTTAACTGAGATGCATCTGTTCTTTTATTCAGGTAAGAAATATTTTCCATTTTTGATTTTCATCCAAATTCCCTAGTTTCCACTCCACTGTGTCAATATCACAGCCAGGCTAGTTTGAGGAGAAAAAACTCCTGTTACAAAGACAAACACTAAACACAGCGACTATCTATCCTCTTTTCCTGGATCATTGCTAAGCATTAAATAAGCTCATTAAGTTATGAATGGCATACTTAAAATTTATGAAGTTATGAAATAAAACACAGCCAAAAAAAATGCTGAGAGCATTTTACAGCAAAGCAACTGCTAGAAAAAAAATACAGGGAAATTTCAGTTATTTTCTATTCTTTTTCCCTCAGAAAAGAAGACTTTAGAAGGCTTGAGAATTTAAGCAAACACTCGTGGTTTTGGAAATGTTGGTTTCCATGGCAACCAGTAAG